CTGCGTAGCCAAGTAAGTCGAAAGTCACTCCATCCTCCCTAAATTTCATCCCTAATTTACCCTTCTTTAGGGCGTCGGCGCGTCAAGTCCAGGTCACCCTCGGCGATTACGTCGTCAATTCGGCGAGCGAGACGCTGCCCGCTTACACGTTCGGGGTCAGGGAGATACGCGTTCACCCTTACTTCAAGTTCACGCCTCAGGCTGACAGGTGGGGCATGTAATTTGCTAGAACCGTCACGATTATGAAACGAAAGTGAAACGAGATTTTGCACACAGGTTCGACGTAGCCGTTCTTCGATTAGATCGACCGGTGCATTACATGCCTCACATAGCGCCGATTTGTTTGCCCGAGAAGAACGAGGATTTTTTGGGCCAGTATGGTTGGGCCGCTGGATGGGGCGCTTTGCAGGCTGGTAAATATATCGATACGCTCGAATATTATTATATATTATTCACGAATTTGTTGTTGAAAAAAATAACAGGATCGAGGCTACGGCCCAAGACCCTTCAAGCTGTGGACGTGCCCGTGATAGATAATCGGATATGCGAGAGGTGGCACCGATCCAATGGGATTAACGTGGTGATTTACGACGAGATGATGTGCGCCGGTTACCGCGGAGGTGGGAAGGACTCGTGCCAAGTAAGTTTTGTCGATTGGAGCTAAGTCGAATCGATATCTCTTTCTTTGTTCGTTCCGCAGGGTGACAGCGGTGGCCCATTGATGCTGGAGAAGACGGGACGATGGTACTTGATAGGGATCGTCTCGGCGGGTTACTCGTGCGCGCAGCCAGGCCAGCCAGGAATCTATCATCGAGTTGCGAAAACGGTCGACTGGATAACGTACGTTATCAACTCGTAGCGGAACGAAATGATCGGAAAGGGATAGAGATCGTTCTCTCTGTAAAAGCTTTGCATGAAACAAAGTTTACAACGTTACCACCGAGGATCTTAGGAATATATATGCGCCGTGTGTGAAACTTGGATTCGATTCCCGCGCTCGAGGAACAACCGTGACGTTGCGAACAGATTGCGATCGTTAAAAAAAGTCAGGGACTAAACAAGTTGGTCGAAGTGTCTTGCAAGTTTGGAAAGGTTTGTTTTGTCGTGCGATCCAACGTATATATTCTTCGAAAACGAACGAAACGAAAGGCGATGCCGCGTATATCCCGTGTATAACTCGTCGAGTTTCTTTCATCGATTTAATCCTTCGCGGCAACGATATCTCTTATCTTTCGGCAAACGTAACGGCGAGTGAATGCGAAAATTGTATTATGCTTGTAAATTAAGCGCGCGTGAATTCGCGCTTAATAAAAACGTTTCGTTTCTATTTTACTCGTTTGTCTTCATTCTTGAGGAAGGGGGGAGAGAGTTGGGATGAAAGAAGAAAATCTTTACATTAAAAACATACTTTGTTATTCGACAACCGATATAACTCAACGCAAGCATAATACGTTGCTTAATAGCAGGGCAACGCTTTTTTTTTTATTTTTTTCTTTTTTTTATTATTTTTTTTTTTTTCTTTAAGTATGTGATTTTCATCGCGTATATAAGTACACATTTATTCTCGTTTATTCGTTTCAACGATAAGCAATCCGCGACAACGAGTGTCAAACTTCTGCGTTGTAGGATCGTAGGAGGCGTCGGCTCTCGAGGTTCGATTAAGTAAGATAATCTTGGGATAAACTACTAATATAGTTCTCATCTTTGCACACCAACGAAAAGAATTACACTATGCTTCCCGCTTTCGCGACGAAATAATAAATAATTTTTCCTTCGACGATCCTTCATTGATCGACGCTCGTCAACGAGCGTCGTTTTTTTTTTTTTTTTTTCGGGCCTCGTTCCTCGTATTTTTGATAACAACAACTTATTGGCATCGACGAAATCAGACTAGATATTGTTCGATCATTGAAAATAATCAAGAAAAGAGAGAGAGAAAAAAAAACAAAAATGCTCGTCGTGAAAACGGGAAATGTATCCATCAAATTCCCTACTAGTTGTGTCTAATTTACAAAAAATTAATTTCGACTCGCTATACATTCTGTCACATGGATCTCGTGATATCCGTATTATTCATTCTTTCGTAATTTTAAGTAATATCTTTAAAACCGCAGTGAAAAAAAAAAAAACGCGAGAGTTCCCAAAAAAGAAAAAGGAGAGAAAAAAAAAAGGAAACAGGAAAAAAAAGAAGAAAAAAGGTATCTACCTATCTACGTCGTACGATCTGCGTCAAAAATGTTGTTCTTCTTCCATAGAGAAGAGCCGTAAACCCTGGCAAACAGGGCGAGTTAAAATTCATCTTCTAAGTTAAATAAACTAACGATAATACTTTCTCGTTTGAGAGTGGTACGCTCGAATACTAATAAAGGAGGAGGACGAAGAAATATCGGGTCAAAAGGGACCCGATCGAGGTGCTCGATCGAGCATCGCCGGTTATCAAGCTGTCGTGAACGCCGCGGCATTCTAAATGCATTCTTGTGAACGATATTTAGAGATCGTCGTGTCGGAAATTCGCCAGTTCGATCGTAAATCACTTTCGATTCCGATCTCGATTTCTTAAATTACAATTACGTTCTCGAACGGTTCCGGTTGAAACAGTTGAAACAGTCTTGTTGTGTGTCGCAACGTTGTCATGGGGCAACAAATGCACTGACAAAATTGATTCCGATTGCATCGTGGCGATCCAATCCCACGAAGAAATCGCGCAGATACTTTGAACAACCAACAGCAGCTTGCTCCTCAATGTTGAACCGTCATTGCTCGTTGCTCGAAGTATCCATGCCATTCGAATCCGAATCAACGTCTCGAATCGTTCTCCTACCTTCTACGACGGTAGAATATCGAGTTCAAGGACACTTTGGGTAGCGGGGGACAGGCCGTCCTCGCTTTTGTGCATCAAGATATTCTTCAAATCCCTCAATTTCTGCGGTTGAAGAGCCATGGCCGAGTTCCTGGGCAAGGTCGCGATCGGATTGGTGCTGTGACTCTTGAACGGCTTTTCGTATCGATTGATCCCCTTCTCCGATTCCGAATTGTACCTTCTCTTCCCCGTTAGCTCGGTATTCGGTTGCACCGTCGCCGTGTCCCTGTCCTCGAAGCAGGGGACCGTTTGCATCGACATGGTGTTCCTTCGATCGTTGAACAAAGATCTGGGATTCAGGGTGACCTCTCTCGCCGAGCCGAAGTGCTTGAAATTAGCGCAGATGGGGTTGTTCGCGAGGCTGGTGTCGGCCGGATGGCAGGGCTCGGGCACGCGTTTCTCGATCTTGATCTCGGTCACGTTTTGACGGATCAAAATGTCCGGCGCCGCTTCGGGCAACGGCTCCTGGGAGATCGGTGGCCATTTTAAGTCGCGCGCCATATCACGATCGATGGCGAGAAACTTTCGCCTGGATTTGTCTACGTTGTGCCAACGGTAACGTAATTTCCTAAAAACGAGGTAGTCGACGAACACGTATTCCATCAGCAACGAGATCAAAAAGTTGGCGACGCCGTATCCGACCAGGATGAAACGAAATCCTACATCGTCCGGAAGTATCAGCTCGAACCAGTTGCTCAGCCATTCGAAGGGGAAAGTAGCGAGGTAGACGGAGAAGAGGCTGAGAAGGATGAACGAGGTGAGCAGCCCGTAATTCGTGAACAGAGACTTTCTGTACGGATGACCCTTCGAGAACGTCACAGCCAGAATGATATACTGCATGGAACTGATTATGAAAACTGTGTAATTTTCCGTGCAGCTCACGTCGTCTTTGTTCTCGGCCGCTTTGAGCGTGGCGTTGAACGGTACGAACCAGTCCATCTGCTCGAGGTGCCACAGGCTGACGGATTGAAACAATGCCACGATCAAAATTTGCGTCACTAGGCTTAGAATGGGAGTGGTACTGATAAGACTGTTGAGAGGAGCTGTCTTGACCAGGGGCCCATCGTACGCTTCGGTACGGCCAAAGAAGAAAGCGAAGATCGAGATGATGAAGAGGTCGATATAGAGGAACTCGATATCCGTTAGATTCGACTCGATACCGTACAGCAACATCACGGAAATGAATTGTGTGAGCGAGTAGCTCGCCATGTATTTGAAGATTCCGAAAGAAGTGACCAGGGCTGCGCGGCCTTCGCGAATCACGGTAAGTACGCAGGAAATGTTGGTTTCGCGGCTGGTGAAGGGCGACGCTACCGAAGATTCGGTATCGGAGAGAGAAATTCCGGTATGGGCCGCCTTCAGAGCTCCGCAGTCGTTTGCCCCATCGCCTACCATAGCTGCAAATTATTTTTTTAATCGACACTCTGATCGAAATTTATATTAATTATCTTGAGAGTGATCAAGTCACTTACCAACATAGTATCCCAAAGATTGCAATTCCTGAACGAGTTGTTGCTTCTGGTCCGGCGACATTCTTGCGAAAATTGCTCCACGCGTGACGAGTTTGGGAATCAATTCCGGGTAATATTGTCTGACTAGTGCCCATGTTTTGCCCGTGAGTGCAAACACATATTTATTTTGCGAATGTTGCAAGCTGAAATGGCGGGGGATAAATGTTAAAAATCGGGTGAATTACGTTGTACGCTTGGAAAGATTTGACGAACTTACTCGTCGGATAAATAATTGATATCGTTTTCGTACTTGTTCCCAAAGCCACTTTCAATCGTTTCCAAGCTAGCAACACTGTTTAGATCGGTCATTTCGCTAAGATCCGCGTGCGTTGTTGACGGTTCGCTGTTGCTCTTCGTGAAGTAGATCTGTGGCTTCATCTGATTCTGTTGAGTGGCAGAGACTGCGATAACGGGTGTACCTGGTTTCACGATATCACAATCTCTGGCGACCGAGAGTGCAGTCAGCATGTTGTCGCCAGTCACCATAACGGTTTTTATGCAGGCAGTGTTTAGAGCACTGATCACAGGTGTCGTTTCCGGTTTCAATCTATTCTCCATGATCACGAACGCTAAAAACGTAAGATCGGACTCGGCTGATTCGCGACTCAATCGTTGAACCTTAGCGTAGGGAAGACGGTTCAATGATTTGTGCGCGAGGCCGATTACACGGTAACCTTCTGAAGTATAATCTTGCAACACGGTGCCAAAGTCTGGTGGAACTGTAAAAACAACGTGATTAATTGTAGTTTAAAAAGAAGAAAAAATATTTTGTTAAATATAACATTTGTCGTTGTTACTGGATTGATACAATACTTACTGGATTCTGCTCTGGAAAGGCTGAGTATCATTTCTGGGCTGCCTTTGCAATAAAGATCGTAATGATTAGCTCCCAACGTCCTCGTTATCACGCTCATCCTCTGAAGACTAGACGTGAATGGAAATTGACGAACGATCCCAATTTCTAAACCTTGCTCCCCCAATTCCGTCGTGGAACCAGCCAACGTGGTATCGAGGTTGTTCAACGAGATGTTATCCATCACGTCCGAAGACATGGAGTTTTGTCGGCTGAGCGATATTCTTATCTCGGTGGGTAGTTTCTTCAGCAGCTTGGAGCCCTTCGGTGGCCGTACTATCGTAGGAAAAAGCATAGAGAATTTCGATGTATCGGACACATCGGGTTCTTCCAACGTCCAGCCAGTAGACTCGAACATTTTTAAGTCAAGCGGATCACCCACGAGTTGATTCTCTATTATAGTGATTCCGTGACACGTTACCATTCCTATTAGAAGATCGTTCAGAGGCAAAGACGCGATGTTTTTAACGGGTGGCTGGAACTTCCTATCGACGGAGGACACCACGCCCCACATGTCGAGGCCATCTTCAGTCAGTGTCCCGGTTTTGTCGAAACAAATGCAATCGATCGATCCCGATACATTGATAGTTCTTGGACTCGTACAGTAAATCTTGTTCTTCTCGAGTCTTCTCTGCGCTACTAAACGGCCAACGGTCATAGCTGCTGGCAAGGCTGGAGGCACTACTATGGTAATCAGATCTAACGCC